TGAAGGAGGTCGACGAGAACATGCTGAATGTTCAGAACAAGAACTCGGCCTACTTTGTGGAGTGGATACCAAACAATGTGAAGACAGCTGTCTGTGATATTCCCCCGCGTGGACTCAAGATGGCGGTCACATTCATTGGCAATAACACCGCCATCCAGCACATCTTCAAGCGGGTGGGGGAGCAGTTCGCAGCCATGTTCAAACGACGCGCCTTCCTGCACTGGTACACCGGTGAAGGCATGGACGAGATGGAATTCACGGAGGCGGAGTCCAACATGAATGATCTCATCAGTGAGTACCAACAGTTTCAGGACGCCACCGTGGACGATGAGGTGAAACTAGAATAGAGACGCGGGAAGATCCACGCAGACGCTTGCACACTGCACAAATTGGTTTTGTCTAACCTTTTGTGGCCATAATCCTTTCTTGAATGGCATCTCAATTCGAGTTTAAAACAAATGCTATCATTTTGATAAAGACATTCGTTTTTGTTTTCGGCATACCAAAGGGACCCCGAAAACCCAGCTGGGTATCTGGGTTGGGCAGCAGTCATAGGTTTAACAGCTCGCGTCCGTTACTGATTTTGTTTCTGCAAACCAAACTAACAACGATAATCTCCGCGACTACGAAGATGTCACACAATACCAGGGTGGCTTTGGAGGGTCTTATTTGCACTGTCGACCTTAGAAATCAGTTGATTTTCATCTCCTGTGGGCCCTTGTAAAATACCAGCTTACTTCGGGATTTGGAGGTAATGGCGTCCAAAAAGACATTCCGCCTCCTGCTCAACTTCGGTAGTCGCCTGTGGCCGGGCAGAGAACTAGCCAGGGGGAATTCACCGATTAGGTAACTGCTCTACTAGATGACAAGAAAGCTGAGGAGTCGTTTCTGGAAGAGACTATCGGCAAGGCAAATTAGCGTTTCCCCCTCACGGAAAATACATAGACTTTGACGTACGGTAAGAATCACTCATATTCCTAAAAAATCCACTAATTTTCGTCCAATTGCTTCCTCTTCCGCACTACTGAAGCTTGTTGAACAAGTTGCCTTAGGTACTAAAAAGTCATTCTCTTCCACTCTTTCCGATCTTTTACAATGGGCATAAAAGGCCAAGCGTAGTACCTTAGACGCTGTTGCTCTTGCGATCAACTCCGACCCAGGAAAACTGTAAAAGAACTGTCGTGCGAACGTATGTGATTTTCTTTACTACTCTGCCCTAAATATCGCACCCCCAATCGTCTCCCAAATAAAACATCCGCGTGCGGTTTTACAGGCCAGGATGTCTCAGGGTTCGGCGACTACTATAATCCCCACACTCAAATTGAGTGAATGAGGTCTCTTTTTGCTGAAGATTTTGAATAAATGCAAAATAACGCAAAATCCTCTATCCATTCCTCGCGCTCTCTCTCTCTCTCTCTCTCTCTCTCTCTCTCACGACAGTTCGGCCGTCGCGTCCAACGATTTCCACTGCATGCTTCACAGCAGTGTAGGAGCAGGGACGGTGATTTGTGCGAAAATGTAGTTAAAAGTGATAGTAGACTTGCACAGCATCTACCGCACCTCCCCAC